TTTCATACAGCAATTGTAGCGACTTGATCATTGAGCTTTTCAGTTCTCTGCCGCAGGCAGACTGTTTGTCGTCGAGTGAATAATGCGCATGCACGGTTTTTCTTGGGGAAACATTCTAACTACGCATGCTTATGTAGCAGGTTCTCGGTCAGAAAGTGTAACGGTCGTACATACAAACAAGCAGAATAATAGTATAGAAAATTAGTGGATTCAGACTTTAATACGATTTTATATTGGATCAGCTTAAGCTATGTGTGACACTCTCAATACGATCTTTTATTGGATCAGTTTGAAGCTAAGTGTGACACTGCCTGTACGATCTTGTACTGGGCCAGTTTTAACTAAGTGTGACACAAACAATGTATCGTGTAGTGGATTAGTTTTATCTAAGTGTAGCACTGCCAGTACGATCTCGTAGTGAGCTGGTTTTAACTAAGTGTGACACAGGCAATGAGATCTTGTACTGGATCAGTTTTATCTAACTTGGTGTATCCGGTGAATCTAGTGATTCACTACCTTGATGTACCTGTTGAATCTTGTATTTCACTAACTTGATGTACCTGTTAAATCTAGTCCTCCGTTAGCTTGATGTACCTGTTGAATCTAGTCCTCCGTTAGCTTGATGTACCTGTTGAATCTAGTCCTCTATTAGCTTGATGTACCTGTTGAATCTGATCCTCTATTAGCTTGATGAACCTGTTGGATCTAGTCTTCTATTAGCTTGATGTACCTGTTGAATCTATTCCTCCGTTAGCTTGATGTACCTGTTGAATCTAGTCCTCCGTTAGCTTGATGTACCTGTTGAATCTAGTCCTCTATTAGCTTGATATACCTGTTGAGTCTAGTCCTCCATTAGCTTGATGTATCTGGGGAATCTAGTGTTTCACTAACTTGATGTACCTGTTGAATCTAGTGTTTCCATAACTTGGTGTACCTGTTGAATCTAGTCCTCTATTAGCTTGATGTACCTGTTGAATCTAGTCCTCCATTAGCTTGATGTACCTACTGAGTCTAGTCCTCTATTAACTTGATGTATCTGGGGAATCTAGTGTTTCACTAACTTGATGTACCTGGTGAATCTAGTCCTCCATTAGCTTGATGTACCTGTTGAATCTAGTCCTCTATTAGCTTGATGTACCTGTTGAATCTAGTCCT